AAAGAGTGATGGGGGATCATGTTTACTGACGTGCAGAGGTGGTCTATGAACTATTGAGGGAAGAAAAGTAAGTTGCAGAATAATGTACATAATATGATACCATTTTTTTGTAATAAAAATTAGAAAAACCTCAGAAGATGCACCAAATTGTTAACAGGAGGTCACCCTTGGTGAGGAACAGGGTCGGGAAGGAAAGGCTTACTTTTTACTACAGGCATATTAGTGGTAATTGAGTTTTTTACAAGTACATATTATCTTCATACCTTCTTAACAAAGACTCAGTAGTTTTTTAACCATTTTAAATCAACATCAAGAATTTCCAAAAGCAACTCGGTAAGATCTGCTCTAAATACCTCACTCATGGAAATACATATATAAGAACTCAGGACAGTGCCTGATACACAGTTCATGCTCAGTAAATGTTAGCTGCAAGTAATTGTAGTCAGTGGCTTTTAAATAGTTATAAATTATAGTTATATCCCAGACATTCTATTCCTTATATCCTTAGATTGATGGGTTCATGTCAAGCTGGAGATTAATTTTGGATTAATTGAAGAATGTTCCTTGTTGCATTTTAATGCTCAAGGACACCGTATACTGTAGTAACTTAGCATCCAGAGATCACTGCAGATTACCAAAGTCAGACTTAAGAAAGTAATTCTAGAGGTTTCTGTCTTTCTCCTAAATCATATCTCTGCTGAGAGCTGCATGTTTCCTCTTCCTATATTTTTCCAAACTGACTCATAAGGTTCACACAAATTTCTCTTATTTGAGGACCATTTTTAATAAAGATGAAAAGAAAAAGGCCATCAATTCACGGGAGACTGTAAGTGGAGAGTACTAAGATTATTCAGACACTCAGGTGTTGGATGCTTGGCGAACTCTCAAGCAGCGTGATTTGCTCCAGGATCCTGCCCCAGAGTGGACTCAATTCACATTTGTGTTTCACATCATAAACCACCCTGCTGTGAGCTACTCCTAAAGAGCTGGTATCACAAATGTGCTTTGGAGAAATAAAATAACCTATTTCAGTATTTCATAATGATTGATAATTGATTAGTTCTTTCAACTATGTTTTATGTGGTAATACCATGTTCAGTGAAATGTATGTGTGGTGACATAAATATTTAGCAAATTCTTAGAATAATTTTTATTCCCAGGACAACGTTTATACCAAAAATATATATTTTATTGTACATACTATTTAGACTGTATGTACCTTCTTGAGTTTCAGGCCAAGTAATCTTTCATAATTAAATAATTTCCATTATGCAGCTGTCAGTCTCATGCTAATGGACTCGGGCTTCAGGAGCCTTTACAGATAACTTCTTGTAAATCTGCAGTTGTTTGTCTCAATTGAAAATACAGTTTTATAAGGGTCATGGGGCTACTTTCTGTTTCTTGATTTCTGCCTAACTTTTTGGACCGTTTTTCTTTGTTGTTTATACCAGTTATTATTTTAGACATTATGAAATATTCATTGTCTTAAAAGTTGATGTGGTTAGCATCATTTATATACTAGTCACTGAAGGATAAGCATAGTGTTTTGAACTTCTTACTGCATTAACCTTTTCCTGCCATATCCTGCTTGATCAGACTCTCTTTATACATTCATACATTCAGCCAAAAGTAAAGTCTGATGGAGAGAAACAAGCAATAAACAAATAAAGTTATTGTTTAATATCAAAGAGATAATAAGTACAATAAAGAAAAAATAGGATATTGAGCTAAAGATAGTGGAGGAAAGGCAGTTGTGTTAAATAGGATGGCCTGTAAACGCCTTCCTTGTCCAGATAACCTTGGGACAGGGACCTAAGTGAAGCGAGGCTTGAGCCATGGAGATGCGGAGCAGATGAGATTTTTCACGCAAAGAGAGCAGCAGGTGTTAAGCTCTGAAGGGGGCACACTCGGAATATTCGGGAAAGTATAAGGAGATCAATTAGACCAGAGCAGAGTGGGCAAAGGGGAAAGGAAATGACATCCAAGAGGGTTTTGAAGGACGTAGGGTCTTGAAGGACGGTTGTGAACATAAGATACAGGTGATGTGATTTATGGCTAAAAGGGATCACTCTGGCTGCATGTGGCCAATGAAACATGGAAATCAGTGACTATAAACTTTTTGGATGATGACTGCTCCAGCCCCAGTAAGAAATATATTTTGCAGCGTTACTCTATTCCACTTCATTCTTCGTTCATGTACTTGAGTGGTAATGTTTTCTCCAACTTAACAGTTTCCCTGTGGGGGGCCGAGTAGAGGGGAACCATTGTTACAATTTGAACGTCACAGAAGGATTCTTGTCAGGTTGTTCCCCATGAAATACTGCCCGTGTGACATGTTGCCAGTGCAGTGAACTGGAGACTCAGATACCAATTCCAGAAGGCTCTGCACACATGAACCCTTACTTTGAAAAGCGCTCCCTCCACCAAAGTTTGGAGGAATTCAAGACTTTGATGTGAGATCAGATCAAGAGTAGGATAGTCTTAAAAACTGTAATGGATCCTCCTCTTCAATCCATTTGATACCTTTAGGGGTGGGGGCAGGGAATGTGTATCTCAGCATCCTTAAGCTTGACGGCCCTCCCAGTGGAGAACTGGTTCTAGGACAAGAGTCTAGGGGTGCAGTGGGCACTGGAAACCCTCAGCAGAGGTAGGCTCACTGCAGCCAGTCTCCAGAGTGGTACTTGTGAAGGAACAGACATGATGGAATTCTTCTGTTAAAGGAGATGCCATTAAAGGCATAAAAAGTTTAACAAGAAATCCGAAGATAAAAACATGCCATGAGACCTTCACTGCCCAGAATTCTTTAAGATATTTTAGAAGTATTAGTCTAGTAGTAAATTGCGGAGAATGAAAAATGCAGACATGAAATATATGGTCCTTTCAGGCTGACTAAAGATTTGATACCAAGAATAGATATGATCTTTTTTTCTCCCATATACAATGGTGTTTGGAGGTGATACAGAAGGATGAGGTTGATATCTAGAGCACAGAAAATGGCCAATGTAACACAAATCTTTAGATTCTAGTTTAACTAAGTAAAATTTTGTCAACATAAATGTATGTTACCAGTGGTTTGTTTTGAAGAGGATAATTTTCAGGGGCAATTGTATTTGTCTCACAGAAGGATTTGGGCCCTATAACTGACACATCTGTGCAGAGTTTAAAAATAGGTAACAAAAGACCTCCGGAAATGTTATTTTCCTGTGGCTGTTAACCTGCACAGAATAAGTGTTTGTTAATACACTTGTTAGGTATTATGTTCCACGTTGCTCTGCTAGGTCATCAGCTGTGTGTGTGCTTTAGACGGAGATGTGGATAGAGGCACACTTACACAGTGACGCCCAGTACTTAAGACTGCCGTAATTACTGAATAACAAAATAGTAACTGTTTTTAAACTCTTCTAAATCTCTCTTATTTTCGAGTATGAAAACGTTAAATCTTGCATGCTGATTCCTACCTTCTCTATTGAGGTACAGTAATGTGATGATTTAGATAAGAAAAGCTCTTAAGAAACGAATTTTTTACTAACCACTTAATAGTGGGGAAGCTTCGTACGTGTCAGGAGCCTCCGGTACCCTTCCTCCCCTCAAACCTGTGCACAAAGAGAACGTCCCATCCCTGAGCACAGCAAAGCCCAGCAGGACATCCTAAAGGGACTAAAAATGAAGCATTCGTCTTCCACTAAAGAGGAAAAAGTAGCCTCACCAGATGAGGCTCAGGATAGGACAAAAGTATTGTTGAATCCATTACTTGATAAGAAGTATCAAACAAAAAGCTTAAATACTTAGTAGCTTGTATTCAAGATTTATAAAATATACATGAAGGTCATAATGCCTGTTAATGCCAAAATGGCTTTGTCAGACTGTCCCTGGTTTCAAAATGCTTACGTTCCAACATCTTGTCTCAGTCTCTCTCAGCCTCTCCTACCAGAATGTCAGAAATGGGCCCCCCTGTCATACCAGCTTTTACTCTATGTCAATCTCAAGAAAGCATTAGAGAGACGATATTTCTCTGTCTTCTGTTTTTGCCTCCCACTCCCATATTTTAAAAAATAGTAACAGAAAATTTAGATTGAGTAGGAAATCAAAGAAAAAAAGGCAAGGGCCGTGCAATAGAATCGATGTGACAGCCTCGGAAAGACGTGGAATAGGCCCTCGTCCACCTGGGACAGCAGGGCTGGGTAATGGGCGGGGCACATGCAAAACTCTCCGGGGATATAAAATCGCACCTTATTTACTCTTCGATTTTATTCCTGCCTTCTCAGGCTCTAGCCATATGGCCTTTCAATCATTTTGTCGAAGCACAGATCAGGAATTCAAACACTTAATCAAGTCATGAAAATTAATCTAGAAAAATAAACAAATAAAAATAAATCAGCCTTTTACTACCTGCAAACCATCCCCCCTAAATCCTATTTTCATGCAATGCCACATCACCAAAGATGCTTCCTTACGCTACTGATAGCCACCGTCTAAATCACTGATGTGAACTTTTAAGCGTAACATTTATGTAGCTTTTTTAAGATTGTCCTCCTAGAAAGTATTTTTCATTCCTTAATACTATAATAAACCACGAGAACGTAAATTAGATTGAGTATGTAAGCCTTTTCATCTTTTCCAGTTCTGCTCAAATAGAAATATTTGCATGATAGTCACTGTAGCAAAACTGAGCTTTCATATTTAAGCTTCTTTTGTATTTGACCCTTACTTCTTGTTTCAAAATTCAAGGGTGTTTGTAATTATGAAGTTGTTTTCTACTGAAAATAATTATTAGCAGGCCTAAGTGGTATTCTGCATCATTTTTCTTTCAGTTGATTTTAAGAATTACTACAATGGAAATTTGTTTTAAACCTCAATATATTAATTATGGATATACTTATTTAAGTATATATGTATCAGAGCTGACTTTAATCTTTGAAGTGGATTGCTCCCCACTTTGATGTACAGGTCATCTCACCTGTTTTTTTCTGTTTTTGTTGTTGCTAAAATGTACAATCCAGGTTCTACATGGTCAGCTATTATGAGCGGAATCACAGAATAGCGGTTGGAGCTCGCCATGGTTCAGTGGCCCTGTACGACATCCGGACTGGAAAATGTCAGGTAAATAAATCACTGTGACTTCCTCTCCATAAAGTGTGGAAGTTATTGAAAGGAGCGAGAGACCAGCACTTCACCAGCTGACGTGCTGAGCTGCTGGAACATTATGGATAATGCTAAAGGGATCAATAGTTTAATGAAGGACTCAAAGAATATAGAGCCCTGCTGTCTTTATTCGCTGGGAACGCAGGGCTGCCATGGATGGGTTCGCAACAGAGCCCAGAGTAAGGTGCTACTGCTCACGAACCACCTTGCGATAAATCTTTCTTCTTTTAAACAAAGTTTTCTGATTTTCTCCTTTAGGCCGTGTATTTTCTGAAAAAAAATTGATGATACATTATTATGATTAATGGCTAAACAAAAAATTAATTTTCTGACTAAGTGAAATGAAATATTTAGCAATTATAAGACAGTATTTTACTCAAGATTGCAAGAAAAGCAGAAATCACAGTGGCGGTTAGTGTGGCTCTATAAAAAGGAAACCAAGGCTCTATTTGAAATAACGTGTTACTTTTGATACTTTTATAACTCTCTGTTTTTATAAAACCTTTATTGTTCATGGGAAATTCTTCTTGGTCTTGATCTTGATAGCTGAAATCTCCAAATGTACCATCTGATAGATGAAGAAAGACTAGCCCCACTTTAGATGTAAGTGAATCAAAGCTCTGAGATTTTAAATCTCTTTATCCCAGAATCACACTGTTGGTTAATGGCAAAAGCAGGGCCAGGCTTTGCCGTGATCATGGTGAGTTTATAG